ACGCAGACCTTGTCGCGGGCAGCAGCTAGTATACATATATAATGTTATGTATCTATTTACTGCGATATCCTTTTAACAAGAAGGTTAAGGGTTTCAATCGTTTAGATTGAAACCTTCTTGTTAAAAGACCCATCTAGATATTAGTGGTAGGCCTAGTTAGGAGATGTAAGTAAAAGAAACACAAAAAAAATTAGGATTTATTGAAAACCACGTTTGCAATAATTGTGGTCAAACACAGTTTTGAAGAATGTGCAACATCATCCTGGTTGAGAGGCCATACTCCTTCCACTTCCATGCCACACTCATCACTATCAGAATCACTCTCAGTTTCACTGTCACTTGTCACATTTATTATAAAAGGTTCATCTAAATACGAGTCCTGTTTTAATACTCTCCTTCTAGCCTACGAACATGTTTACAATGCTGTTTCCACTCATGAACTGAAATAGCTTCAAATGCTTCTATTACAATGCGAAAGATCTCATCATTTTTATGATCAATATTTACGCTGGCCACGTTTCTTTTCATTGTGCTCCATATTAATTCAATTGGATTAAGGTCACAGTGATAGGGGTAAATACAAGCACGTGTGACCATTTTCTGCCTCTTTATTTTTATCCTTATCCTTTCAATCTCGTGTATGGGCTCAGGTTTGTTTCTATTAATTATTTCTAACAGCTGGGGTTTAGTTAAATCATCTCCATACTCGATTTTGTTTTGCCTAAGCCATAACTGCATATCTTTTTTTAAAGAGTTTGAATTTGGGACTTTATTCACGCAACAATGGTGATAAGGAGCATTATCCATTACAATAATTGATGGCTCTATTAAATTAGGTACAAGTTTTTCAATCAGCCAGTTTTTGAAATTGGTATTATTCATATCATTGTGATAGTCACCGCTTTTTGTATTTGATTTAAATACTGTGACTGCATTTTTAACAAATCCTGCATCCCCTCCCGCATGAACAATAATATATCTTTGACCTATGGATACAGGCTCTAATACTCCTTCTACGTCCTCTCCTTGCCAACATTTGCCAGATGTATGTGAAGAGTGAATATAAGTTTCATCTAAATAAATCAGAGGCCGGGGGTTGGGTGATTTATTATTTTTATCCACTTCACGCAAGTACCTTGCTCTCCAAGCCATCAGAACTTTATGATTGGACTTAGTTTTTTTAAAACGGAATCCTAACTTGTCAAGTAGCTTTCAAAGAGTTTCTCGCTGTCCTGTGTAATTTATTTATGTCTTTAATATTTTTAGAAGTTTTTTTATGGTAGGAATCTCCTTTTTGGCAGAATAAAATTCATGGACTTCTTCTTCTGATAACTCCCATGTCAAAATCATCAACATGTACAAATCCACTTTTTTGTATTCTCTGCTTGCCTGGTGTGCGAATTTTGGTACCAGCTTCTTCTGCTGCTTGGCCCTCTTTAACAATTTTTGAAATTTGCCCTTGACTTACACCTGTAACAAATGCTTTGTGATTAAACATGTGTGGTAGAAATAAATTCATTGTATTCATATATTTGTAAGAGCTGAGTGGCGACTGTGTATAGAGCATCGTTAGCAATAATTGAAATGATAACAGAGTGAATATTTTAAAATAGTAACAATTGATTTATATATATATTATTGATATCCTACTTTTGGATTTGACGGAATTTGAGGAAATGTTACTCTTCATAAAACAGGTCTAAAATAACAAATCGTCCTGTAGGTTGCTACACCCCTCTTGTACAAGAACGTTTGATCTTATTATGTTAAAAAAAATTCAAACCTCATGTCTCCATCCCTTTTATCATTTTGGGTCATTTATATAGTATAAACTGACAACACTAACCAGTTGCAGCCGAAATCCGTTTATATATTTGATTAAACGGAATGATAGGAGCCTGCAGTCGAGCTTCTTCAAAAAAAGGATTTCGCCTTTAGAATAATTCTCCGGACATCACTTTTTATAGCTTTCGGCATATTTAACGCTTAAAATTCAGAAGTATCGCAATAAAACACACGGAACACTCGAAAGTAGTAGACACTGACAGTCGAATGACATATCAACATGGCGACGGTAGTTTCTATTTTTGCCACTTCACAGATAAGTTGGTGGCACTGTAAGTTTAAAAGACAGGACTTACTAGCCAAAACCATACTAGCCAAAAATATCAGTTTACGCGGCACTCCAATACCAACCATACCACAAAGATGTCAAACAACATGAGTACCAACGTAACAATCCAAATAGTGCTTACAAAGCTAGCTTAGCTTCTTATCGATATCGATAAAATAAACTAGGAAGAAACCGAGGTTTCCACTTAATATTTTTTAATTAATTTTAGTAGGTAAGTATCGAGTCCGTATTTATGTCCAATGTTGATGAGGGGATATTTGGTAGAAGATTGGACTTGAATACGGACCCGAAATAAGATAAAAAACGGTTTCTGTTAAATAATATAAAATTTTATTACTGAAATTAAATTTGTTTCTTGATTCTTCAGCCAAAAGCTGTTATCCGCTGTACACGAGTCTGGAAATAATTGAAACATAAAAATAGAATCAGTATCCAAAAATTATTTTAGTTTTCTTGCATACTCAGCACACGAAATTAATTATAATTATGACGTATCAATATTACAGAGATTATGTTTCAAAATCCTGCAAAATTCACCTATTCCGATCCTTGCTCATTTATGTAGGCACACCATTGAAATTTGTAAAACTTTGTGCCCCTACTCTTTCACGGAACATTTTTTTTCAATGATAAACATTAACCTAGGTATCGATATGTGGATATTACAGTTGCAGTACATCACTAGCATACAATTTAAATGCTAAATTTGTTAATTTTATTTGTTCTTAGCCTGCTCTAGTGATGTGACGAGTTGGATTTTTTTTGACTCGAGTTACTCGAGTTGATTTGGCTACTGACTCGAATCGCAACTCGAGTTGACTCGCATCAAAGTCTCCGGTAGGGAAAGAGGGGTGAGGGGGGGGGTGACGACTCGGCCAACTCGGAGAGCACGAGTCGACTCGAGGCTAATTAGATAGGAAGTAATAATGATGTTGAATCGTGATGTTATATGGCTACTCGAGTCGATTCGCAACTTTGTTTGTGGTCTGAACTAATCCTCTCCTTTTTCTACACACCTCGATCTCGAACAGTGTCCGACGGTTGGGATTTCAAAGACAAAATTTACAATCAATTGGCACTAATGTACAATTTATTTCGAAAATCAATCAACAAAGGTGTATATTATTCCAGCGCAGATCTCAACATCATGTTTAAGAAAATACTACAAAAAAATACCGCCATCTATCGCCTCAAAGTCGTACTTATAAAATGTAATTGTACATAGTCGATTGCTTATCGAAAATAAAGTTAAAAAAAGTTTCTGTTTTTATAGCAAATAATTCCCACGCCACACTTCTGTTATTTGACGTCGTTACAAACAAAACAAAACAGATCACTAACAATAAAAAAGTAAATAACAAATCAAAAAGGCAGTTCGCACGCGGATCGCCAACGGCCAACTAATAAAATCAGATAACAATCAAAATCAAAAAACAAAATAAACTTTTAAAGCGGTTTTTCATTTGCGCAATTCCGTTTCCGATCCTGGCCGAACGAGCCCGACTCAACCCGAGTTCTATTCGAGTTGATGCGAGTAAGATGCAACACCTTACGAACTCGCGCGCGCGTGTAACGTAACTTTGCATTTCACTCAACTCGAGTTGATGCGAGTTGATGCGAGTGGCAACGCCTAACGAACCGCGCGCGCGGCCGCGTGTGTTACTCGGAACAACTCGTGAGGCCCCCGCGTATAACGTCGGGTTTGCGTTCGGACGACCGAGTTGATTCGAGTTGCTTAAAACCGAACTCGAGTTGACTGGTTTAAGGTTTGACTCGAGTTACTCGAATCAAATAACTGGAGTCACACATCGCTAGCCTGCTCTACTTACATATGGCTTCAAAGCATCATATATGGTAAATGTAAATAGTGTGATTTTTACTATAGAAATCCGCCATTTTTTTGTTGTCAATATGTAAATTCTGCTCGTATTTCTTAATTTTTATACTAATTCTTGGTGGTCATAAGAAAAAACCTAACCTCGAAGGTTAAGGCGGGAGCTCCGCCCGAACCTTCTAATCTATCCGAGTCGGATTCACTCTGTGTCGGTTCTGTGACTCATTAAATTTAAAAAAAATCGGACTATCGATACGTGTATGATGTCGCCCGCTTCCTATATTTATCATGTTGGCAGAACTGTGTATTGAGTTTTTGAAGTCAAACAAATAAATTGGTGGATTTCTTAGTAAAAATAACAAGGTTTAAATATTTTTTTCTCGAAAATTGTAAGCGACCGCCGAATTCTGCTTATTGATTAATTCATTAGAGATTTATCTCCATCGTTTAAAATTTATTTTAATTGAATTACGCCAGAGTTAAAGTTATATACATTTCCCTTATATTTAAGTGCTTACATGGGCTTCATCTAAGGGAAATCTCGCCATCACCATCCTTTTTTCAAGTATCGAATGACTTGCTCAATTTTCACCAATTTCACAGGTAATAAACCGTCTTTTAGGCATTTTGAATTAAAAGTACAACTCTGATCACCTTTCACTAGTTTTCGTGAGAAAGTTTACTCTAAACAATTTAAATTTACAATGAAATAAGCATTTACATTCAAAATACGCGATGCGAAATTAAGTTTTGACAAACAACATGGCACTTCTTGTATTGCAAGAAAGAGAAACCGCATTGAGGGAGAGTGATAGCAAACTCCGCCATTATTTGCCGCGTAAAGTCCATAGAAAAATTTTTTGTTCCTAGTTTCGCCAGAGGCTGATTGGATTCTTCATAGACCAATATATTTTGTATTTTGAAATTAAAGTAGCCTTATTTTTGTACTTAATTTATTAAAGGCACCAGTATGCACCAGTTTGTATATTGATATAAGTATTATTATAAATAATTTTTATGTTATCTTCAGTTATGCTCAGCGCAAGAAACAACAAATCTTTGGTTAGTTTTTAACAACTGCTGGGGAATGGAATATCGAGTATTTGTTCAAAGTTTGAACCAACTTAAAAATCAATTCGTTTTCAATAACTAAGCAATAATTTCTAGGTTTTTACCTACATAAAGTATCAAAGGTTTTCACTAACAATACCACAGAGCAATTCAGCAGAGAATCTTGAAAACAAATACACTGTAACTCAAAAACAAAAAATACTTCAAATTGTGAATGAGGGTGATTTGGAAACTTTGTCCAGGTATTATTAAATTATGAATAAAATTCGGTAACATTAACTTGTTATATATCCATTTGTATTTCTAATATGAAACACCGTTTTGGTTTATATTACAATAGGTATGATGTTGCAAAAACTCGAATAAAGAAGCTTACCGAATGGGTAAACAAATATGGTAAACTAAACACAATATCACAACTGGAAACTGTTGATGGCTTTACAGAAAAGACAGTAAAGAAATTCTGCACGAGTATAATAAATGGTGTACCAAAAAATCTCAGTAATAGGATCAAAGGTCAAATTTTGCATCCTGCATTGTCTGATATTGTTAGACAGGTATTTCTAATTTTAATTTGATTCTTTGTTTACTAAAAATATCTTTCATAAATGGAATTATTAAAGAAATAAACTTATATTCGCCATAAATAAATTTAATGTGAATGTAATGAGTAGCAGGAATTAAATATACTTTAACAGGAAATCAAAAAATTTAATTAATTTAATCTAAAATTGAAAACTGGAGAATTCTCCTTGTTATTTAATTTATTAGTTATTTTTCTCTATTGTTTAATTTTTTTTTAATTACAATATGCGCTTGTTAATGTGCTCAAACTTTGTTTAATTGTAAATGCAGAAATTGCTTTTTGGACTATTATAAAATACCTTTAATTTCTTATTTTTTCAATAAATATGTACAATAAAAAAGCGAATTTATTATAAGAGTTGCAGGTCTGTGTTATCAGTCTATGTGACAATTAACTCTGTTTGCTGGACGCTCATTGATCGAGCTAACTATGAAGTGTTGGAATGGAAATATCATGGTATTGATTATCCAGAGGGCAAGCGTTTTCAGATTACAGATATTTTGGACATAGTAAGCAACTACTACTTGCATTTTCTAGTTATTTAGTAGAGTAGCAGCCTATTTATGTTCCACCAATCAGACAAAGGCCACTGTGTAGAGGCTAATATGGCATATTCCACTGTGTTGATTGATTGTTGGACTTCACAAATGTTTGAAATATTTTTTTTGTCATTATTTCGAAAATATACAGGTTTTATCATAGTGTTTTCATGCATGTTATTGTTCAGAAATACAGTTACATAACAGTTTTTGAGAAAATATAAAATTTGTATTTTCTGGTTTTTAATTAATGATTAAATATAAAATTTATAATTAATCATTATCAAATATATTACTAAAAATTAATTGAGCGATTCAATGACTTTAACTTATTTGTTTAATAATTCAGGCTTGGAATATAACTAAAAATCTACCAAATGCTGACCTTTATGTAATGAAAGCAGAAGCGACCAGTCTTCGAGCAAGTGGTAGTGATCCTAATAATCCTAAAATGCTCACTGTTAATTTACAAAAGGCTCAGTTAATTGCAATGATGGTTACCCTGATCAATACAAGAAGCAATGATGTAAATGTAAGGTAATTTAAATGTTTTTGTTATTTCATTGATGTTACAATAGCTTGTAGTTATTTAGTTAAGACAGCGACTCCTGGCAGAAATTAGTAGACTTGCTGTAGTTAGACACAACCTTCAGAAATGAAGGGCGTGACAAAGAAGAAAATTTAGTTTATATAAATATATCTTCTTTATTGTGCTTTTATTTTATGCTGTGAAACTATATAATTTTTAATAGTCAACTTTTTATCCTACTAATGTAACAGTTATGAAAATATTATACGTATAAATAAAAAATGTTTGTAATTAAATTGACTACTTTAAAGAAAAACGTTTTCTTTCTATATGTTGGGTTATTCCATACATATTTACTACAGGATTCTTTTTGTTTCAGTTCTAGTGAGGATAATGCCGAACCATTTAAACTAAACCAAAAGGTATATTTTCTGCGACCTACTCTACCTTATAGGTATTAATTGGACCTTTTTTCTGTAATTATTGTAGTAAATAATAAATACTCCTTTGGATAGCCGTCTATTAGAATGCTTGTAATTAAGAACATTTATAGGAGCGCCATCTAGAGCAAGATATATGTGGTCCATATTTTTGCCGTATGATTTTATCGCTAGTTAGATGTTGTTGCAGTCGATGACGATAGGTGTCGCCTTGCATTTCTTTTGCTGCGCTGTGACTAATACATAACTACCAATTTGTATGACACTGGCTCGTAAGCCTATTTATTAGGGATGGGCATTAAGAAATATATCGATATATATATACCGTATTAAAATTTTAAAAACGTATCGATAATTATCGAGTGAAAAATATTGATATATCGTCATTTTTCGCATGAGTTTTAATACACATTTTCAAACCATCCAAACTGGTAAAATAGTATAGTCATGAATAAAATAGTTGAAACCATAGTTCCGTTAAAATATATCGAAATTCGTACAATTTCGATAGTCCTTACATGGATGGATGTTTGTTACTCTTTCACGCAAATGTTACAGAATACTACTAAGGAAACTTTACAATAATATAGCTTATACATCAGAATTAGACATAGGCTATAATTTATATACCTACATATTTTATGTATATATCTCTTTCTGTCTGAATGATACGCCTTCAACCTAATCTACGCAGACGTAGTCGCGGGCAGCAGCTAGTATATCCTTACTAATATTATAGAGGCGAAAGTTTGTATGTATGGATGGATGTTTTTTACTCTTTCACGCAAATACTACTGAATGGATTCTAATGAAACTTTACAATACTATAGCTTATACATCAAATTAAGACATAGGCTATAATTTATACAGCGTGTCGTTACCATCGCGACAATAAATGAACACACGTATAACGCTACTTGCCAACAATCATAAAAAATATTAATGTCAAACAAAATCCACCAGTCAGATAATAGCTACCGATCGAGCCGAGGTCCGGCCCTCTCGGGCACCCTCGAATCGGAATGCTAAACGCGTGCTGAGTGACAGCCCAAGCCGAGGTCCCCTCTCGGGGACCCTTGAGCCTGATCACTCCATGGAGCGCCCGCCAAAGCGCCCTAAGAGCTTGGCGGCCTCCCAAACCGGTAACAATAATAGCGTGACGGCCCGAGCCGAGGCTCCCCCGGGAGCCCTCGAGCTTAGTCACCATAACGCGTAATAATAGTACGCCGAGGTTCAGGCTAGGCGCCTCGTGCGCCAGGCCACCTCAAGTCCGTCGGATCTGTAAAGGCCGCTAAGGCCAACAGTGGCTCATCCAGCCCAAAAAAAAAAAAAAATCCATAATTAAAAAAAATATTTTCAAACAAACTAATTAAGTAAAAAAGAAACGAAATTTGTAACATCCTATACCACTCGCGCCACAGCGTCGCATTACAAGCCTCTCCTTCTAACAGTATGTTTTGTCTCTTTTAAATTCATTGAACCCATTCATATGCTTTGTGACCTTTACAAATGAACTTTACGTTACACTTTTATACTTAACTGTATTCTTAAATTGTTTGTTTTCGAAAATTTAATAACTCGGTAAATATTGATGTTTAAAGAATGTAAATGTTTAATCTTCTTTAAAAGGAGGCCGCTGCTAGTAGTGGGACATGTATAGGCTGATACTGTACTGCATCCTACCCTGCCAGCCTTTGTTGATTATTTTACACCCTTCCAGATTGCACCGTGTTGAGCCGTGATAGCTCAGCGTCCGGGCCCTCGCCTTTAATTGAATATACTCGAGCAACCTGAGTTCCATCTCCGGTGCCGGTACCAATGAAATTGTTAATTAAAAGTGCCAAATTATCACGCGTTCAGCGGTGAAGGAAAACATCGTGAGGAAACCTGCATATTTTCGGAATAATAACAAAAAAAAAAACTATTTCGAAGATGTGTGAAGTCCGCCAATCCGCAGTGGGGCCGCGTGGTGGACCATGCCCTGATACCCTCTGTACGGAGTAGGCCTTTGCCCAGCAGCGGGACATGTATAGGCTGATACTTAACTTTACTTCCAGGTTGCACGGCACCTTGGTGGGCAACGAGAGGGTCTCAACAGATCAGACGGTGGAAATGCTCCTGCAGGAGGCGAGGGCATCCCGTTGGGATAACTCCCACGCCCACGTGCCCGACCGGCTCGCCACCATGTTCCGCTCGCAAAAGGACCTGCAGAAGGACATGCTCGGCCACTGCTTGCTGCTGGCCCTGACCTTCATGGACCTCTGCATATACGTCAACCCGGAGAGCATAAAGAGGTTGACGTGCCGGGGAAATTAGCGCCGGCACGATTTGGGACCGACGACAGGATAGCTTCAATAAAGAGTTTTAGTTAGACTTGTTATTTCTCTAACATAGGCGATGTTTATTGGAATTAAGCAGATATAAGAGAGTACAAAGCAATTAACTCCGCCTTGTTTAACATTAACATTTTTGGTGACTCTGGTTTCGGCGTCGGGGGTCGTGGGTTCGATTCCCACACGGGACAGCTATTTGTGTTACCCACAGATAGTTGTTTCGCATCTGGGTGTTTGTCCGCGTGAAATTTATGTTTGTAAAACGTACGACACAGGGAAATGTTATCCTAAAGTAAGGGCAATGTTTATAAAACAAAAATAAAAAAAATAAAAATTTAAGAAGGATGGTGGACCCAAGAGGAAACGGAGAAGTATAATTACTTCTATCCGTATCAATTCACGAAAAATTATTATCAGTGATTCTACTGACCTCAGTATGATTTTTCTTTTTACCTTCAGCTAATAATCTTTTTATATAAACACTGGCCTCACCATATATAGTAGCCCACTATAGAATATAGAGAATAGATAATAGAATATACCTTTATTGCTCCTCAATACATTTATTGTAATGTTTTGTATATTCGTCATAACCTTAATTTTTACCTAAAGAATAGTGACAGACATAAACGATAGAAATAAGGACAAACTTACTACGCCTTTGTTTTTCCTACAAAAAGTTAATAGGTCGCTCACGGGGCAAGGTGTGCGCATGTATAATAAAATCCCACAGTCGATATTAAGTCTGCCGCTTGACCAATTTAAATGTAAAATTAAAAATCAACTGATGATTAAAGCATATTATACCATTTCGGAATATCTCGACGACGCCAATGTGTGGAGTTAATACTGTTGATACTCACGTAGGCTAGAATAAGACTATTATACCTGTATATTATATTGTACCCTGATATTTTTGAAAAAGAGCAACTGTTGAGTTTCTTGCCTCGGTCTCTTCTCAACAGAAACCGCTTTCCGAACCGGTGGTACCTTACGAACCTTTATATATAATTTGTTATGTAAAATTTGACGATTCATAAGAGCGCGCAAGCGTCTATTTGAATAAAGATTTTTGATTCATTGACTGATTGATACATTGAAAAGTGCCGGTATATTATTCGGCCTTCGGCTAGCTATTGTCCTTTCCTACATTCTAGGTTCTAGGCTCGTCACGGGTAGTGCCACGGCCTCACAGAAGACCGGGGCACTCTCTCTCACAAAAAAAATACTCGCTTTGTTGTTGGAAGCCAGAAATCGAGTAGACGGTACTGTAAACAGCGTTCACGTATTTACGATTTTTTTTTTTTTTTCTATGTGAGAATGTGAGGCGCATGTCTATCACTTGATGTTAGGTGGTAATAATTTGTAGTTTGCAACACTCGTAGGATTGCAGATACGTTGCCGTCTTACAATAAAGTGGGCAAAAAAAAAAGAAAGTGCACGTGTCAGAACTTGACCAAACTCGAGCCAGGTAAGTGTACATTTGAATAACGAGCGAGCTAGGAACGATCACGCTGATGCGATGAAAGGTTTCCCAGCACGTGCTGATTGAACTCTTTTCATTCGGCGATTCCAGGAAAGCCGTAGAATATTCGGCGCATGGTCGAATATGCTATACGCTGCAAGTGTAGTTTTTAATCTTGGAAAAAAAATACTCTTTTCTCAGTGCAGCATTAGCCTCATAGTAATTGTTTAAACATAACATTCAAACCGAGCGTACGTTTGCATTTTGGGTGTTAATTCTGTAACGGCTGAAGAGATTTCATCAGGACCATAGGATTGATAAAGCAGGCTTTAAATTAAATCTCTTAACTTAGTGTATGCGAATTGGTGAGTCAGCCGGACCTGCGTTTAAAGTTCTAATCATCACAAAATTTTTCCAATAGGAAAATTTTTGTGATGATTTACTTAACCCTTACTGTATGTTAACTCTATGCTGTATCGTTAGGAGGATTTACATCCGAAACAATATCTCTGGGTAACACAAAATAGTTTGTTCCGTGTGGGAATCGAACCCACGATCCCGGCGTCAAAGCTAATACCTTATTGAAGCTATTAATAGCTCAGTGAGCTATGGAGCTGGCTATGCTTGGTATTTCTTTGCGTGATAGAGTTCCCCATGAGGATATCCTCAGTAGAATAAAGATAACCGACGAATAAGAATTAGTTAACTGAAGTGGCGATGGGATATGGTCGATGTAGCTTATAGGACCGATCGACGGGGAAGAAAGGTTCTTGAGTGGCAGCCTCGTACTGGCCATCGCAGAGTAGGACGCCACACTAGATGGATGACCTGTGGAAGTGTGCGGGAAGTCAATAGATGCAGGTGGCTCATGTGTTCAATTTAATCTAATCTAGCAACTTGAGTTCGACCCCCGGTGCCGGCACCAATGATATTGTTAATTTAAATTGCTAACTTATTACGTGCTCAACGGTGAGGGAAAACATCGTGAGGAAACCTGCATGTTCTCGAAATAATAACAAAAAAAATATTTTGGAGATATCTAGAATATATAGAAGTCCGCAAATCGACAGTGGGGTCACGTGGTGGACTATGCCATAATATCCTCTGTACAGTGGAGGCCTTTGCCCAGCAGAGGGACATTTAGAGGCTATCACTTTATTTTATTTTTACTGATGAACGTTTTCTTGAATTTTGTTGTAAAAATGTATAAATTGTCCCACAAAATAATTACTTAGGGCTCATTTACACGATGCCATTTTCTTGTACATACAAGAGCAATAATTGAATGCAATAAGTTGCACGCAATAATTGACCATCAAGATTTGTAAGCAACAGTTTACACGCAGATATAGTAAAAAAAATTGAATGCGATTATTGAATGCACGTCTTGACAAGAAATAATTGCAAATGTCTTTTGTTTACACCAATGCAATTATGTTTAGGCGATTATTGCTTTCAAGTTTTGACCTGTCTAAACACATGCTTGTATGTGCGTGTACAATTTATTGGCGTGTTGCTTCAAGTATTGCACGTATTTGCGTTGACAAATTTTTCATGCAAGTGTTGAACGTTTTACAAAGGCCTGTTTTTTAAAAAAATGGCTCAATAATAAGTGTTCAAGTTAGATTATGCCGATTAAATATATTTCATTGAGATTTATTTATTATGATCCATATATTATTATTCATATTTTTATCCAACTTTTTTTACGACGTTTTCTCAATATTCCTATCCTCAAAAGAACAGCAACGATTAAATACCCTCACTCATTGCACTAATTTTTGCAAAGGAAGAGAGAATGCAATTGAATACAAGAATTGCTTACGAAATTATTGTGTGTGCTATTTACACCAAGGAAAGTTTTGAAACAAAACTTGAAGCAAGTCTTGTTCAACAGTCAAGAATGTTATGTGCTGTTTAGACAATGCAACTCATTTATTGCTTCAATTTAATTGTATATAACAGGCAAGAAACTTGCACCGTGTAAATGGGCCTTCTACGCAGTGTACTTGTGGGTAGAGTTAATTTATTTACTCCTAGTATTAATATCATGCACATTACTATGTCCTGAATACTAATTCTTATTTTAAAGGATATACATAATAACATTTTAAAGTATATACTGAGAAACAACAGTAAATATTTTAATCTCGTTCGTTTTTTCGAAATTTATTTGAAATGACTCTTGGTCTGTTGTAACTACATCCTTATGAAAGGATTCGGTGTTCGAAAATATTAGTAATATAATATTAGTCATTTTTGTCTTCAGCTTTCATTATATCTTTCAGTACTTGCTATTATAGAACCATTACCTGTGTATATTCGCTGAATATGGATAGAAATAAAATAAAACCGCATTATATTGCTTCAGTTGGACTAAAAAGTGTTTATTTGATAAAATACAACGAGCTTACTTTTTACAACATTTTACTTCTATAAATGACAAAAAAAAACAAACAAAACCCTTAATACAATAATAATAATATACATAAATACGATGGTGTCAACTTCAAACGTATTATACGTAACTAACATAAATGCAAATCTAGGCAAGATCGTTATAATTCATGTAAAATATATTTAAGAGAAATAATAATATTTATTATAATTATAAAAACTAAACATAACTATTTTTAATGTTACACCAAGAAAAATCTAATTCAAAAATTTCCTATAGATCACACATACATTTTTGACCTAACCAAAGTCGAATTTTGTATTTAATACTGATATTATCATTTTGGAAGAACTAGAAAATATATTTACAATTTCATTTTAATTTTTATTTATAAAATGCCAACGATACAATTTTTCGCCTGAATCTGTGACCATATCGCAACCAACTGTTTTTCCTCCTTAAAAAAACATAAAACTATGGAAAATTGAAATGAAATCGGTTCTGTATTGTTGTGTGTAAAAAGTTCGATCTTGTATTCTGGGATTGTCTAAAATGAATTTTATATAGTCTATTTCGGTGTCTCTGTTTTGTAAGAAAATATACTCTATTGTAACATGTGGACAGGGGCTGCTGGGAATGATTTCCTTAGGCCATATTGAAGTAAATTCAAATGTAAATGGTCCATTAAGTTCACATTTCCAATTGCTTCTTATTTATTTAAAACATTAAAGTATATAGTAAAATTGTACTTTCGTCAAATCAGTGACCGTATTAATTATTAAATTCGTCGCACTTCCAGTATTTCTGCATGAAGTTTTCTATAACAACAGTAAATATACAGTATATCATTGATGACATTTTGTAATTATCTCATCATATAAATTGTATATATTTGTTTCAATGTAACGTATTTACATGCACTGCAAGGTATAAACGTGGTGTCCAATGGATGAGATCGCAAACCGAGTGCCAATGAACACTTTTAAGTTTAATAGTAAATAATTCCCCGCAGCCCCGGTTAATAACTTTGTAGAAACCTAACAACATTGTAAAATTACCAGTCTATTGTTGTATATTACAATAAATATGTACAAGTAATAATATAACAGCACCCATT